TGTCTGTCTTCAGGTTTACATCCCCCCCCAGCCTCTGCCTAGGGAAAGGGCAGTCTTTCCCTGCAGTGGGAACCAAAGCAGCTGTTATCAGTATCCTCTCCCCCGTATGATCCGCACAACTACCCTGTGAGGTATGTTAAGGTTGAAAGTGTGTGAATGGTCCATAATCCCCCAGGCAGCTTTTAAAACATGAACCTGGGACCTGCACACCATCCTCTGAAGCGCTCTCTGTGGCAGTAATGGGGTGACTGCTGGCACCTTTTCCTATCTTTTTTTGCTTTGTGGTATTCTGCTTGCGGTGTGATCTGTCTTCTTTGTGATGTGGCATGATTGTGTTATTGGGTTTGTTTCTTTTGAAGGGGAAGTGATGTGTTGTGAGTGAGGACATATTTTACCTCAGAATACAGTAGGTTCCATATGCAACTGGCAATTCCAACTGCCTTGCGGGGGGGGAGTTTGAGGTAGGGTTGCCAAATAGAAAAATCTTACCGGCGGGGGAGCGTCCTGTCGCTCCGGGAGCCGGCCGGGGATGTGCGCGCGTGTGCGCGAAGCGCGCGCGCGCCTCTGGAGCGTCACCAGAAGTGACGTCACACGCTGGGCGGGGCCACGCCATTTGAGGGGAAAACAAAGAGTTTTCCCTCAAATGGTGTCACCCCGCCCCCAGCATGCGACGTCACATCCGGGTGACGCACACGCGGGGGTGGGGTTTCCCCTGGGCCCCGATTCCGCGGGAGCGGGAATCGGGGCTGAAAACCGGGGGGAATTCCGCCCCCCAGGGGGATTTGGGAACCCTAGTTTGAGGTGTGGAATGGAGTGAAGTCAAATCAGCTTCCATATGCAAAAGACCTTGAAACGCTGGGCGGGACTGTACAAAGCAGACAGTCAACCCAGCCAGCGTCTTCTGACTGACAGTTCTTGCGGCCAAACACTAAAGGTGTGCATTTTGGAACGTTGGAGCCCACTATGGCTTTATATATAAGGGTTATATATGTGTGTGTGTGTGTATAATAGAACAATATCCTAGTGAAGGTGACATGGAAGTCCAATCTCATCAGATCTTGGAAGCTAAGTAGGGTCAGTACTTGGAAGGGAAACTGCCAAGAAAGGCTCTGCAAGCAATGGTAAACCACCCCCGCTTCTCACTTGTCCTGAAGGCCTCTTGCTGGGGTCACCATAAGTCAGCTGTGCCTTGATGGCACTTTAAACACAAATGCACACCAGTAGTCCTTTTAACATTTGCCTACTTGTGCCTAGAATGATCCATTGGAGTCTGCAGAAGGGATTTATGTGTCCAGAATCCTGGTAAATGGGCCTGCTGACAAAACAGATGGTCTGCAAATTAATGACAAGATCATACAGGTAAAAATAATAAAATACATTTAATATGGCATGAAGACATGGATATGTTGTTCCGAAATTGCCTAACAATTTATTGGGCTACTGTTTTACTATTGATATTCTTGCTGATTAGAGAAACAAAATGTTTACCACATGATAAAATACGGTTAAATAAATGTCATATGTCTGCCTGAAAAGTAGAATAAATCGATAAATCAAGCAGAAAGCTTTCCTGGTTTTTGTCTCCCAGGCTATGGAAGATCTATGGATTGACAAATAGTTCTTTGATTCTAAAAATACAGTGATTTTCAACATACATAGTATTTGCTGTAAACAAGTACTTAAAACTTTAGCTGCTGTGCGTGTGATACTTCAAAGCCCTGACTGAAAGGTGATGTTTGGGAATTTCTTTGAACAGCTAAGGATTGCACTTTTCTTTCTGTGTCTGAACCATTTGCTAAGTGTCTGTTTTCTTTTGTAGAAATATAACCTACTAAGAGAGCTGCATTACTGGCTTTTATTATGTCAGTTTTTTTCTGCACACTTTATCACTCTCCTTTTTTTTGACAAGTGAAGGGAATATCAAAAGAAGGAATAAATTTGAAAACATTCAGTGGCCCTACCCTGGCATAGTATATCACTTAACTAGCTGGATACCCGTGCTTCGCTACGGTATTAAGTTCCATAAATCCAGTTATAATACTGATGTGAAATTTGAAATGTGACATTTGTTGTAGGAGTTCTAATGGAGAAGATTGTAGTGTAAGAAATGAAGTGAGACATATGTACTTTTTCTCTCTCTACTGAAGGACCTCTCTCTAGACCACATTGGTGGTTCTGCCCTCAGGTGCTATGATCATCAGGCTGCTTGATGAGCTCACTCTGGAGCAGGCCATATAGAACTGTCCATTTAAGAAGCAGTCGTCTGTTAAGTCAACTCCTGCCACCTTCCACAAAAGTGATGGCCTCTCTACTTGTGGTCCTGGATTGTTTTGCTCATATGGAGACTGTGTTGTTCTGAGCACCTCAGGGTGATCTTGCTGGTAGTTGGCCTGTGCAGCTCAGTGCACTGCAGGAGTACTATGTGCAAATGTCTTTGCACATTCCTAAGTTGCCTCCTCCTTGGAGCGTTGGTGTATCTGGCTGGATGTTTGCCAGGAACTTTCTTGGGGGCAGTAAGAGGTGAGAGGTGTGAGGGGGAGTTGGTGTGAGGAAGTGGTGATGTGGATGCAAAAAATCTCGGCAAAGTGCTGAAGTTAGGGCTAGCAATAAATTGCCTCTGCTCAATTCATATTTAAAATTCAAGTTATGAGTGGTGCCATGAATACTTGAATACATGCTTGCTTTTTATCAAGTGTTTCAAAACTGGATTTAAAATGCTATGTGTTTCATACATGGTCTTTCACAGATGCTTTGCAACTGGGCCATCTGTGGTAGATGGCAGCTCAATGTTCTGTATAAACTAGGGATAAGGCCCATTGTGATAATAAATACAACAATCTCTAGCCAGGCCACCTGGCCACGGCTCCCCTCGTAACTTCCCCCCCCACCCATCCGATTTCTCGGTGGGCCAGGGCACCAGGCCTTGTCACTCCCCCCCCGTCCGAGACCCTGGTGGGCCAGGTTGGTAAGGCTTGTCCGTTCCCCCCTGTTCAAGGCGGCAGGGGGCTAGGGCACCAGGCCTCATTCTCCCCCCCCCCGCCTGAGGCCCCTGTGGGCGAGGCCGTCTGACCTCATTCCTCTCCCCCCTTTGAGGCCTCAGTGGCCCAGGATGCCCGGCCTCATCCCTTCTCTCACCACAGCTTTCCCTGCCCCCATCGGCAGACTCACTGGTGTTTCTCCTCCCCTCCCACCCATTTGTGGCGCCGTCGGGCCAGGGCGCCAGGGCGCCCGGCCTCGTCCCTTCTCTCCCTGCTCCCAGTGGCATTGACTTTGCCAGACTCATGGAGCTCATCATTTCTCCTCCCCCCGTTCGATGCCCCGGTGGGTCAGGCCACCCAGCTTCACCCCCTCCCTCACCATGGCTCTCCCTACCCCCAGCGACAGCTACAGAGTCACCAGCCTCATCCCTTCCCCCTCACCCTCGAGAGCCCAGCGGGCCAGGCTGCCTGGCCTCATCCCTTCCCTCGTGGCGGCTCTCCCCACCCCCAGCGACAGAGTCACTGGAGTGTCTGTCCTCTCAGCTTGGGGGGGCTGGTGAAAATAGGCCAGCGACAGTTAACACACCGCTGGGCAAGAGGTCCCACAGCACCCAGCCCTCCCAGAGTCCTGCCACCGGCCTCAGATGGGCTGGCAATGGCGCCACACCTCCCTCCCCTCCCCTCAGAGTCATGGTGCTGCTGGCTGGGCCGAGTGGAGGCGGCAACAGAGAGGAGTCCATAGCAAGGTAGGCCGCAGCGCTTTTGGCTCATCTCCCTATTCGACCTCCCTCCAGCTGGGGCCCAGCTCACCACAGCCCTTACACGATCGGGCGGCCGCGGGAGGGAGGTGCAAGGAGGCCGCGGCTGGAGTCTGGGGAGGAAGGCGGCGGCAGTGCAGGCCAGGTGGGCTTGGACCAGAGGGTGCCAGCAGGCTACGGCGAGGCCGGCCGGACCCTTCCTCCTGGCTCCCTGCCGCCATTGGGTGAATTGGAAGGTAAAACATGCGTGCTGCCTGCGGCTGGCGGAGGGTTCATCTCGTCCGGCGTCTCCATGTAGACTGAGGGCGGGACGGTGGCAGGGGCCTCTGTGGGTGGTACCCTGCAACACATCCAGCCAACGCAGCCAGCGTGTTCTGAGTGACAGTTCCAGCCGCCAACTGATTTTGCCGCACATCGAATCTTGCCACCCCAAGTCTCTTTTATAATATAAGGAAGGATATGGCAAAGGGTTTTTTTTGGGGGGCGGGGTGTTTCTCAGGAAAGAGTTTTATTTGCTTGCTTGCAAAAATGGCCAGATTGAAGAAACCACCTGCAATTCTATTACTTCTGAGCATGCGCCAAAGGCATTGTCTATCAATTACTTCAGATTTGAAAGGCATGTAGACCTTAAAGAGTTAAATATTAAACGGGATGAATCTTGCCACTTGAGTTCAATATTGTTTTTCAAATCACAAATGTTTCTGAATTTTTTGTTCTAGATTTTCATAGTATGAAGAAAATCCCTAAATGAGATTATGTGTAGTCTTATGCAGCATTCTGTGTAAATAAATATTATATATAACATAATATACCAGTAAAGCTATATGGACCCACCAGACCACTCTGGTCATATTCGGAGGCACTGTTTTGCATACCCCCACTGTCTGAAGCTGAATGGGTGGTAACTCAAGAAATGCCTTCTTGGTCATGATGCTGAAACTTTGGACTTCTCTCCCCAGAGGGATTCAATTATCTGTATCCCTCTGTCATTTCTGCCAGTGGGAGAAGTTGACTTCTTTGTTTGGTTTGACATTCCCTCACTAATTCTTATTATTCCTCTTCCATGTTTGTGTTTTTGTGTATTTTATTTAATTGTTTTAATATTTTATGTTTGTATTTTAAATGCTTTTTATGTCCCAAATGTTTTAATGTTCTGTCTTAAGGTGGCATAGAAATGGGTGGAAAGGTGGCATAGAAATGTTTCAAATAATTAATAATGATAGTTGTGCCTTAAACTAAAATGTATTAGTGGTCTCCCATAGCATAATATACTTTTCCACCTCCTCTGGTAAAATGCACCCATGTATATATCATATCATCTCTGCAAGTGGAAGTCACAGCTCCATAGACAAATGAAAAAATGATATTAATATTGGCAAGAAGTTGAGCTTTTTCGCACTTTGTTCACTGGAACTTGTGTGTATGAAAATTAATAAGCTTAGTTCTTACAATCTTTTTGCCTTTGTGAATGTAACTCTCTTGGCACTTACTTTTATTTGCCCTTAGTGGCTACTGTCTGGTGACTGTTGCAAGTGATGTTTATTGATGTCTTTCACTTCAAATATATTTGCCATTCTACAGCAGAGTAAATAAAATTTACAGGAAATTTAATTTGGATGTATATAGCATGTCATATCAAAAGTTTTGGGGGTGGTTGGTTTGTATGACCTTTTTGGCATCATCTTTCCACAACTCCATCCTACATGTGACCTTTGAAAGGCTTTATATTATCTCTTTACAATTTGCAATTTTTCTAGTGATTATTTAAAAAGTGGTAGGTTGTTTGGTACATGACTTGTAGGAAGACAGAGTTCTTGTTGTTGCATGCTCCTGTAGTCTAAAATTATTGTAAGAATGTGGGACATTTTCGGCAAACTTAAAGAAGAAACTATATCATTAACATGCAGAGGAGGGAGCTGCTGCAGGTGAGCCTTCTCCCCTGCCCCTGCCTGGCCTCGATGGTGAGGCCCCTGCAGCTCTGAGCGGCCGGGCCTGCCAAACCTTCCCTGCCCTTGACAATGGTGGCGAGGCCCTCGCGAGTCCAAGCCACCGGGCCCGCCAAACCTCCCCCCCACAGCAACAGAGGTGAGGCCTGAGCTCGGCCCGCCCAGCTTTCTCCCTCCCTTCCCCCTCCTAGCGGCGGTGGCGGGGAGGCCTGGTCAGCCTACCAAGCTTCCCCCCCCCCAGCTGCAGCTGCAGCGAGGGCTGAGCGGCTTACAACTGCCGATCGGCCGAGCCTTCTCCCCCCCCCTCCAGTGGCGAGGCAGTTCTCAGAGCGTTCCCTGCGCATGCGCAGGGAATGCTCTTTTACTTTTGGGGGGATTTAAGTATCCCCCCTATAGTTTTTTTTATAGATTTCAGATTTTTATGTACATTTGGGGATTGCCCCAAATGTGCAGGAAAATCTCTCTGCCCCTCAGGTGCCTTCAATGTGCGGATTTAGATATCCGCACGCAGGGGGCACCTTGGCTATTAGTATATAGACAAGTGGAGACGAGCAAGAAACTATCTCATTCGTCACACCTTTGCTTCCTCTCCTCACCTTCTACCTTTCCCACACTATTTCTCCCCTCTGCCCCCCTTTTCTTACTCTCTATTTCTCCTCCATGCATGTGACTTCCTCTCTCTTTCTGACCTGTCATCTTTCTCTTTGTTTTTCTGCCTCCCAACTTCATAACTCTTTCTCTCTATTTCTGCCCCCACCCCATCATTCTTTCTTTCTGCCCCCCTCACCCTCCCAGCCTCCTTCTGCTTCCTCCCTCACTCCGCAGAGCAGCAGCAGTGGTGGCAGTACTCCTAGCCACCCACCTGCTTCCTCTCCCCCCACAGCAGCAGTGGCAGTGGTCTGGGAAATTCCTGATCTACAGAGATCAATTCACCTTAGGGCTGCCAGCTCCAGGTTGGGAAATTCCTGGATATTTGGGGGTGGAGCCTTGGGACAGTGAGGCTTGGGGTGGCAAGCAGAATCAGCAGGGTATGATGCCATAGACTCAACCCTCCAAAACAGCCATTTTATCCTGGGTTTCCACAGTGGGGACCAAAGCAGCTTTCATTATTCCCTCCTCCTTTATTATCTGCACAACAACCCTGTGAGGTTGGTTAGGCTGAAATATGTGACTGGTCCAAAATCACGCAGTCAGCTTCCACTGCAAGATGGGGATCTGAACCTGGGTCTTGCAGACCCTACTTTGTAGCTCTAACTGCGGCACCTCACTGGCTTTAATAGGGTGGCTGCTGATGAACGGTAGCAAGCAGCCGAGGCTAGGTGAGTCATGCAAATCAGGGGGGACCTGGCAACCCTAGACTACTGCCAGGCCTAAAATTGCCAACCTCCAAATGGGACCTGGAGACCCCCCAGAATTACAACTGGACTCTAGACAGCAGAGGTCTGTCTCCCTGCAGAAAATGGCTGCTTTGGAGAGTGGACTCTGTAGCATTATACCCAGCTGAGGCCTCACCCTTCCCAAACCCAGCCCTCCTTAGAGTCCACCACAAAAGCTCTAGAAATCCCCCAGCCTGGCACTGGAAACTCTTGTGAGGCCTGGCCCCAAGGCTCCCTCCCTCCCTCCCTGAAAGGCCAAAATAAGACTGGAAAGGGCCCTTCCCCACCCTTTTACTGACAAAGCCAGTTAGAAGCCTCCCCCCAAAAAACATTCTAATCTCTCACTGTTGATGCCTGAAGCAGATCCCTGCAGTGGCCATTTCAAAGGGTTTTGGGGGGAATTCAGCCGTCCCTGAAGGGAAATTTTTAGTTTTTGGATTTTTCTACAAACCCAGGAAGTCTACTGACTATGCAGGAAAAGGTGTTGGGTGAGAGTGAGCCCCCTGTTGGTGGAAATAAGTATCCGCACAGAAAAAGCCCTCTGGCTAATAGAATAAGGATAGGTAACGTGCGGCAGAAGTGGCAGGATCAGTAGCTATTTTTGTTGGAAGCGAAAAGTTAACAAAACTTCCAGACTCAAAAGCAGGAATCATTTGTATGATATCAGTGTCAACCAGTAAGTCAATAGTTAATGTTAAGAAGAATTACAGTACAAAGTTTGTCCAGTGGTGCCTTTAAGACCAATGAAGTTTTATTCAAGGTATAAACTTTCGTGTACATGCACATTTCTTCAGAATTACAATGTAACTGTTACTGTTTTCATGGAAGGATACAATGAAGTTTCTTTGGAAACTGGGCTGATGGCTAAAATCATTATGATGTTGCTGGTCTCTTACTCTACCTAGAGGTGTTGGCACTGCTGAGTTGGGCTTCCCTGTTTCTTCTGACTAAATAGATCAACTGTCACTTTGTAGGTGCCGTAATCTTTCCTTGACATGGAGGGCTTTTGCGCATGAAAAGACTGCAGTGTATAGGCTGTGTATAATGGATGTCAGAAAGATTGTTTCCCCCTTTGCATTGGGCTCAGGTTTAAATCCCCACTGTGCCAATGGAAGCTTTCTAGGTGACCATGGTCCAGTCACCCACACCTAGCTAGCCTATATAACAGGACTGTCGGGAGGATAAATGGAGAAGAAGAGAGAAGAACAATATAAATCGATTTGAATCCCCATTAGGGAGAAAAGCAGATATACATCAAATAAATAAAGGTTAGACATGCAGTGAGTAGAGTGCAAGTGAGAACAGGCAAGGAGGAATTGATGGATTTAACTGAAGAAAGAAGCTGTGTAAAGTGAACGGACAGTTGGGTGTGTTGGAAGTCTTTATTTTGCGTGTGTTGAAAGTCTTTATTTTGCAGAATAAATGCAATTAGAGGAGGAGGGTTCCTTTTGGAGTGTGGGAATATTCAGTTGATGGTGGGAGATCAAATTTTCTTCTACCTTCTTAGTACTGGGCATCAAGGTCTTTGGGCAGTTTAGTTAGTACAGAAAAAATTCCAGGCATATTTTGAGTGATATTTGAATTAGGTAATGGTTCCTGTTTTCTAGAAATTATATTTACATATAATTTTCATATTCAAATAAGTGTTCAAGGGAATCTAATGGGAAGGTGTCACCTGTCCTAAAATTGTCCTAAAATCCCAGCAGCAGCTGTTCAGTCATACTCAGCTTGTTTTGGCTTTCAAAATTGCTCCAGGAATTGGTAATGTGATTTAAAGCTTATCTGTGTAATCACGGGAAGTTGAAAAAATGGAAACTAAAGATTTTGAGGATACCAAATTTTCCATCTGACCCTGCTTTCCTTGATGTTGCCAGATTCCAACCATACTCAGAAATCATACTAGGATACTTTGTGGCCCATCAGCTAGTATCAGTCACAATGGCTGAATAAAATAGATGAACAGGTAAAAAATAATTGCTATCTTTGAGTACAGCTGCACAAATGAGTTAAGTGTAATTATAATATTACTTCCTGAACAAGTGTTGTGCAGCTTTTCCTTTTTACTTATATGGTAGTGGGTTCAATAAAAAGTATGATATGAATATTTTTGCAGCCTGTCTTCCTGTATGCAATTCCACTGAAATTAGTGGAATTTAAATGTAGACATTTAGAATAGGTCCTTTGTTAATATCATATAATGGCACAGTAATAAAGGAATCTTGGGTGATTATTAAACCTTGAGTACCATGAAGCGTTCAATTTTTGACATACTGTGCAAAAGCTCTGGGGTGTAAATAATGACTGCTGTTTTCATCTATGTGAAAGTGTGGGGCTTAATCCTCTCAGTTCTGTGTTGGCTATAGCTGACATAGCAAACCTGAAAAGACAAATGCTGAAAAGCCTGCTCAGGAG